TATTGCTGGGGTTCAAACTCTAGGTTTGTGTATGATGCTAGGCAAATGCTTTACTACTGAGTCACACTCATGGAATAATTTCTGATTTTTTTATTTATATACAATCCTTTAGCACCTTTGGTCCATTATAATTCAAACTAACTTCAATCTATTGGACTTTTCCACCACCTAGAACTCACTATGTAGACCGGGCTGGCCTCCAACTCGTTGCGGCCTCCAGTGCTGGGAATAAAGGTGTGCACTGCTACTACCCATCTCTGTGCAGGGTTTTCTAACTAGGCTCTTGAGCCTTCCCTGGCTTCCTTGAAATTCTCCTCACAGCTGTGAAGAATCCTTAAGCAGCTATCTGCCCCTCACTAGTGTTGAAATCTTGGCAGACGATACTCACATGGAGTAAGCTCTTTGCCGTTCCTCACAGGCTCTGCGTGACTGCAGACTCCAGGCCTTTGGCCTCGCATGACTGTTCCAGCCTCATCAGTCTTTTTCCTTCTTCCTTTCCCGCCTCGGGATTGTGACCTTTGGATTCCCACAGTCTTACTGGCTCCTTCAAATCAGTTTTTCTCTAGAAGATAGTTTTTGAGAAAGACTTTTCCTCTCCCATAGTTCATATCACTTCTCATGGTTGGCCAAAGGCTGGGGGTGGGGGTGAGCGCGTGAGTACTTTACAGATCTCTCCTCGCAGTGGCAGATAAACACCAGGGGTCTGGGACCTGGAACAGCTGGTGACATAAACATTCAATATCGTGTCCAGTTCTCAGACCCACCAGGCTCTGATGTTGCCCTGAATTCATACTGGTCTCATTAAGTATCTCTGGAACAGCCCAGCATGGTGGAACACATCTATAATCTCAGCTCTCAGCAGCTCAAGACCATTCTTGCTACCTAGGGAATTCTAGGTAAGCCTGGGCTATATGAAACTCTAACTCAAGACAAACAAACTGACCCCAAAACAAAAACATTTAAAAAAAAATCTCAATAACAGTGTGGTTATGGTAGAAGGTGGAGTTAGATTAAATATGTATAAAAAACTTTTTAAGTCATTGAAGAAAACCTTACAGTTAGAATGCTGGGTGTTGGTGGTGCACACGTTTAATCCCAGCACTCTGGAGGCAGAGGCAGGTGAATCTCTAAGTATGAGGCCAGCCTGGTCTACAGAGCGAGTCCCAGAACATCCAGGGCTACACAGAAAAAAACTTGCCACAAAACAAAACACAAGACCACACTTGGGGCTGGTGTGGTTCCACAGGCCTCTAATCCCAGCACTTAGGAGGTAGGAATCAGCAGATCTCTGTAATTCAAAGCTATCTAGTGAGATCCTGTCTCAAAACAAAAAAACCAAAACAACAAAAACCTTGTTTCTAGTTGCGTAACTATGCAAATTACCTATCATCCCATTTCCCCATCTTCATTTACTTAACTATAAAATGAATATAATATAAAGTTCTGGTAGGAATTAAATGACAAAACTCATGAAATGTAGAACAGACTACTTAGTTGGCTTACCCAGTGTGTCTAGCTGTTGTTTCTCTTGCCTGAGTGCCCCGTACTTTATGACGGGCACTACTCTAAATGTCCATGGATAACCAGTTTAACCGACATAAAAACCCCACAGTTCTCAGGTCAGCAGCACATACACTAACCGGGAACAGTACAGTGAGAGCAGGGACCCTGTGCAAGGGTGACACAGGAACTTGTAGATCATTCCAGAAACGAGCGAACAAAATAAACAGACTACATGAGGCTGGGAGCGTAGCTCAGCAGTAAAGGTTTGTCTAGCGTGCCTGAGAGGGGAACATGTTGGGAAGGAGAGGTTTAGGAGGAGTGGGAGGGGACGAGAGAGGAGATCCGGGGTGAAAATGACCAAATTGTATTCTAGATTTATATAAAATTGTCAAAGAAGTTAAAGAAAAATTAATTTCATGTATACAGATGGTTTTCTCTACATGTATGTCTCTGCATCAGCTGCATGGCTGTTGCTCAAGACCAGAAGGTGTCAGATCCCCTGGGGCTGGACTTATAGGTGCTATAAGCCACCCTGTGGGTGCTGCAAACTGAAATGGGGTCTTCAAGAAGGGCAGCTAGTGCTTTTAACCATGCATCTCTCTACATTGTCAAGAAATTTAAAGGGAAAAAGTTATCTCAGGGCTGGGGAGATGTTTCAGTTGGTAAAATACCTGCATGAAGACCTGAGCTCAGAGTCCTAGCATCATGTAAAGACCCTGGTGTAATGGGTATGTCTGCAACCTTAGCTTTGGGGAGAGGGGAAAGACAGGTAGATACAGAGTATGCTGGCCAAGTTGCTATGTTGGAACCCTGCATGACCTTGAGAGAGACAGTAAGTCTGAGGGCTTCTAGGCCCTGCTTCTTTTGGTATCGCTCTCTTTTTTAATGAGACACACTTCGTATTTAAGTCATTGTTGACTTGGTTTTCTACTGAATGCAATAAAAAAAAAAGGTAGAGTAGTATAGGAAGAACTGCCCTTGATCTATGGTCTACACACACACACACACACACACACACACACACACAGTCTCTCACAAGGTTACTTTGTTTGAAATTTTTAATTAGAGCTGCCCTATGTCAGAGCTACTTAAGTACGTTTGTCCTTTCTATTGGTCTTCATCAGACATATATGTACTATGTAATTTTCATACGTGTGTTTTGCCTGCATGTATATCTGTGTGCATGCGTTGTGCTGAGGAAGCCAGATGTCAGGTCACCTGGAACTGGAGCTACAGACAGATGTAAGCCACTGTGTAGGTGCTGTGAATCTAATCCTTCTGGAAGAGTAGCCAGTGGGCGCTTTTACCCACTGAGCCATCTTAACCCAGAAACACACCTTATGAGTACTGTTGTAGCACCACACAATAACCTCAAGTGCAATGGAAAGATGCGCTTGTGAATTGGATGTAGTGTTCGGGTCACATGTAGAACGCTCATCAGTTTCGCAGCTTCCTACCAATCCAGCAGTACAGATAGTCTCTCCAGAAATTTGCACTGCCTGCTCTTAATTTCCCAATGCCATTCCTATGTCCTCAGGCTCCTCTTCAGAACTTCCATTCCTGTTTCTGGCCGGAGTCTCTCCATAGACACATTCCCAGAAGACGTTTCTAGTTCATGTTCAGATGACTCTCCATCCCTCTTTCATGAGCTGGTATGGGAGGCCGTTTAAAGTTTATGTCCGAGCCAAGTTTTGTGAACGAGGAAAACAAACAACTCAGAGAGAAAGGCCCTAACTTGGACTCCTGTTCGGGAGGCAGGAAATTATTTCAGAGAGCAGGAAGTAGTTATAGCTTTTCCACCAAGCACTATTTCATCATCCCCACCCTCAGGGCGCGACCATCCTGGTGCAGGCGGTTAGAGAAGTGTTCACCCTGGGCAAGCATTACCACCTGTTTCTGTTGACTTTTTCCAGGCCTGGCCACCAGCTGCTGAAGCTGGGAGAGAAGCTAAGGTGTGAACAGGAAAGGCCAATTCACAGTGAGATTGGTCTGTTTCCCAGCTGTTTGAGTTCTAAGAGTGTGTGGTTATTTTCTAAGGGTGAAGAAGAAAGGGAAGACGATGTGTCATCATTAACATATGGATTTCTGCTGCCTACTCTATGTTCCCTTCTTCCTCTTCCTTACTAAAACTCCTGTTATGGGGCAGTAATATCCACATAGTGATGATGTTTCTAGGGGTCTTTAATAGCCAGCTATAGTGATGTGGTTGGAGGTGTTGAGTGTGATTTCCAGGGAGACGGGGAAATCAGGCTTGCTGGTTTGTCTTGCTCCTCTCTTCACTTCACGCTGCCAGGAATTTCAAAGGGATGGCTGCTGGCCAAGTAGCTATGTTGGAATACAAGGTGACCTTGAGCGACACACTGTGTTGTAGCACAGACAAGAACCTCTGTGTCAGTCTTGGCCTGGCTTCTTTTGGCATACCGTTTTTACGAGAGAGACACTTCTGACTTAAGCCACTGTTGGCTTGGGTTCTGTTAAATCTAATCAAACCCAGTCCTAACTCAGATGCTGTGATGATTCCTGGCACTTTTCAAAGTATAGTGGTGATTTCTCTTACCTAATTCTCGCCTTCTAACAATACTGTAAGAAAGCCGAGGCACTTGTGATGTCACAAGAGGAAGTCTGAAGTGACACAATGCAAGAATTGTCCAGTGCCACACACCAGGCTGCCTCATCCTGAAGATTTCAAAAGCATGATAGACATTCACAATCCCCTTTAAAAATATTTTGATTGGTAAGTGTGGTTATTTTTAAAAAGCAGGAATTTAGGCACAACATTTCTTCAGTCAAAAGATCAACTAACAAGGGACTTCAGAGTCACTGACTTAAAAACATCCTTCAAGTTGGCTCCAGAATACTACTGCCATATAAAATTAATCAGAACTCACTGTATTGTTCCGATGCACACAGAAAGAGCGGCATTGTCAAACAGGTGACGACGTTTTGAATGAGCAATTAGTAAGATGAACGTGTGACTACTCCAAAAGCCTTGCAGACTTGATCAATGGAGAGGCGACCACGTCTTTCAGAGGAAAAAGCAGAAGTAGAACTTTTTTGTTATGATCTAAGCAAAACTGGTCACATGGATTCAACATAAAAAAGTTTTAATGAGACAAATGTCAAGCAAGCATATCAATTTCTTAAAGAAAATCTAAAAGTTTAATTACAAAACACTTGCACAGAAACCTGGCAATTCAACAGTTCCAAACACATGTACACAACATTTTTTTTCCTAAAACATGTCAGAAATAAAACCCCTCATCCCTTCCCCAGCTGATCCTGTGTTTTAATAAAAAGCAAGAAGGAAATGTGTAACACTGAATAGGTAACCGCTTATTTCTAGAGGAGAACATGTAGGTGCAGAATCAACCTACGAACCTATTGGAAAATAAATCCTCGTGCCAGCCTGCACCCTTCTCACCTCTCTGTGATGAGCATGGGGTGAGAGGAGGTGGCACAGACAGCTCTACACAACCGACTGAATCCCAGCCACCCTCCAGGCAGAGGGCAAACTACTGGGAGACGCAGTATTTGAAAGCAAGCTACTGCTTTGACATACTGTAGGATTCTAGTAGATTCTTTCGCTATCCTCTTGAATTCTGGTTATGCAAACGTGACTAGACAAGATGAGGTATCACATCTAGAAAGAGGGGGATGATGATCTTTGGACCAAGTCACAGCCTTATCTGGCCACAAAATCAGTGCTATGGGAGCGGTACAGAACTGCACACAAAGAGAAACAGCAATATGAGGAGGAAGGAAGAAAGGACAGGAAGCATCTGGCAGACACAAACTTCCAGAACCAGCTTGGGTGTCCTTCTGCTACAGACAGTGAGTTCTACATGGGTTCAGCAGGCAAGCAATCTAAATGGCAAAAACAGGAGATGAGGGCAGGGAACCAGGACAGTACCCAGGCAGCAGAGCTGGTGGGCTGTGCAGCAGTAACGAAGGAGTCTTTTTCTAAAGGACTGCTATGTGTGGGCTTCAGTGCACGAAGTTTGATGTGTTCACATTACTCTCTATTGTTATGATTGCTGTTTCCTTTGGACTAATAAAGCACACAGAAGAGAACACAGTGCTGAGAAGACAGGATGGTGCAGTCACAGGACGGAGGCTCTGGACTGTGCCCTGGCTTATGGGCATATTGTGATATTGTGAGGGACCACATTTCATCCCCCTGCCTTTGGTGGCCTAGTGCTTAGATATTGGGCTCAGCATGCTCTGCTTTGGTTCCAAAGATCTCAGCTGCCACTTTTAGCCTTGTGCTCTAGAGCATAAAAGAAAAACCCAACCCAACCCAAACCAAACCCCCAAAACCCCAAATCCAAAACCAACCCTGAGGAGAGAAAAAGAACCTGTTTGTTTTACAGTTAAACAAAAATCTCTTAATAAGGAGAGTGAAGGAAGGAAGCCTGTCTTTTCCAGATTCCATGGATTCGGCAGTTGGTGGCTAGAGAAGGAAGACAAAACAAGAGGATTCCACTGTGTCCTTTTGTCAGCTCAAGAGACTACTTCCACAGAAGTCCCCATCACCTTAATGCACAGATCTGTACACTGAAGGCAGAGCTGTGCACTTTCCACTTAGTCGTTGGGCTGCTTTCCAACACCAAACGTACTTTCCCTTCCTCCCTCTTTACCAATGACCTTTTTTTTCCTCAGCAAAAGTGCTCCAAAAGACACTGCCAACAGATGGGGACTGAAGAGCCTTGCTGTGGCCGGGACTCCATGTCAGAGCACGAGCAATGCTCAGAGAACAGCAGGCAGGACCAGGAAGGAAGGAGAGAGCATTGTCCTTCAGGGCAGCAATCACAGAGCCTGCTGAGGGCTGGCACCCACTGAGCACCATGTGGGGTGTGAAACACAGCCTCACTCCACAGGGTACCCTCAACAAGAAGCTCCTGTCTTTGGAGTCACAGCGGGGCAGTGATGGGAGAAGATTGGGCCCATCCAATGAGAATTCTCCTTCAGAGCCCCGCTGAGCAACAAAGCCCAGAGGTCAGAAAATGGAGATGTCTAACTTGGTGGGAGTGAAAGGGAAGCCCCAGAGGCATTTAGAAATGTTGACATCTAGGTAAGAAAACTGGAGTGGAATTGTAACGACGTATCTTCCTTTCTGCTGCAGAGGGAAGGAAGACGGCAGTCTCAGGGTCACCATTGTCAGAGGAATGTATGCAGATCCACTTCAGCAGAAGTGGAAAGAAGAGGAACCTAAGAAGTCTTGGAAGTCGGTGAGGGGCTGTACACTTTCAAAGCGTCACACAGGGCCTCTACAGTTCACACATCCATTTTTGCTGCTCCCTTATACAGCTTCCTGGGGTGAAGGCAGTTCACTTACTAACAATTCTTCCATAGGGAGGGGTCTGTAGTCCTCTGCCCCACTCAGTTCAAATGTTCACGGATGGCTTCTCATTTTGCACAAATGGAATCATTACATCTTGGAGCATTAAGATCTGCAGAAAAGGAAAAAACACCAAAAAGGTAACTGCTGATCTGATGGAGTTAGGATTACAGATTTAAAAATGCTTTGTTTGACTTTTGAGAGGATTACAACAGGGAAAAATATGAAATAAAGATCTCGCAAGGCTGCACACAGGCATCAGTGAGATGTTTCAGACATTTCAATGAGAAATATGGCCCTGCTCTAGTCCTGGATCCAAGAGAGTCAGAAGCTGTCATCAAAATGCAACAATAAGACAAATCTGTGAGGGAAATTAGCGACCTACTTCAGTACAGAGAAAGTAAGGCCAATTAAAAGCAGTTTTCTTTAAGCATAAAGCTAAGAAAATGTACAGGAAATATGTCCATGTGTTCTATCAGCACACTTTTTTACTGATTTAAAACACAGTCATTGGGCTGGCAAGATGGCTCAGTGGGTAAGGCTGCTAAGCCCAGTGCCCAAGTTCAATCTCTGGGACCCACACAGTGGAAGAAGAGAACCAGCTCCCATAAGTTGTTTTCTGATTTCCATACCCACAGCATGGCATGTACATGTTCACATGCATAGACACAGACAGACAGACAGACACACAAATGTAATGAAAATACAATACATAAAAAAAGAACATCTTCAATCTTCAAACAGTTGAGTTATGTGGTTCAATAAAACTGGGCAATACATGGATTCTAACAGTCATAAAAGTGACCAACTCTCAACAGAAATAGCCTCCTGGTTCCATTTTTGTTTTTAAGGCTAGTTAGCGACAGAGAGGTGACAGCTAGGGTAATTCTTCCATTGTATATCTATAAAAATAAATTTTAAATGGCTAGCCAAAAGTCACTAGCATCAAACCACTGTATTTGCATTAATGCTTTGTTCTAAGTTTGGAGTACCTTAGCCCTACTTCCACCCGTCACCTAAGAGCTATGCTTCAGAAGCCTCTGGATGACAGTTTAGACTGGCATCACTTAAGTATCTTCAGACCCTACATCTCACCTCTTTGGGATTCAGTGTCTGCATAACAAAACGCTGTGTGAGCTGGGGAAATAGCCCAGTGTACCCAGGCATGAGGACTGGAATTTGGATCCCCAGGAAAACACATACACACACACACACACACACAAAGCTGGGTGTGGTGGTTCACATCTACAATCTCAGTGCTGATGAGCCAGAGGCAAGTAGACTGCCAGAACTCATGGGCCTGCTAATCTAGCCAAACGGGTGAGCTCTAGATTTACTGAGAGTGACAGAGGATGATTCCAGACACTGATTGCTTTTCACACGTGTACACTTGAAAGAGTGCACTATACATTACACACTCCACATCCATGTTGGATTTCTAAAGGTCTTTCCCAGCTCTGATATGTTCTCTAAAACTTGTAAACTGTGGCTACGAGCTTCACTTTATTCACTGGCTCCTGACAGGGAATGAAGCCTTTGCCAAGTTCATGCCGGAGTAATTAATTATACCATGAGTGCTGGGGACATGAGGCTAGCTGTCTGTCTATACATATTTGTATAATGAGACCACGCTAGTATTAATCACAGTCTTTCTAATTGTTTCATTTGATGGCTTGGTTATGTGTGCATGGGAAATTTTAAGAATCTGTAGTAACAGAAAGTTCACATTTGCAGGCTTTTTTTTTTTTTTTTTTCAAGGACAAAATACTTTCGGTTAAAATCAAGAAGACTGGTAATGGCCTAGGTTTTTGAAAGACCCTTCCGAGAGGAGCACTATAGCTTATAGCCTTATGGTAGACAGCTTTAGGAAAGACGTACTGGCATATGCTCAAAGTGAAAAGCCACTTTTGGCTTCATACTCGAATTCATTGCCCTCTCCTTAGGTGAGGAAACTCCATGTTATCAATTACTGATTTCTTTCGCAATCGTCCTGCTGAGTCTCCCAGCTCTCTCTTTTTAAGCCTCCAAGAGTGCTAATTGAAAACACTGTGTGAGAAGGAAGATGAGCCCTGAGAATCCCAGGCCTAGATTTACAAGCTGTTCCCTTCATAAGCGGCAGCAGCGATGCCACTTCTTTATCCTATTGGGAGGCCAGTCATCTCTTAGAAGTAAGTCCATTCCATCTGGCAGCTCGCTAGAAGGACGATGATCTTGTTCTCCTCTAAGGATGACCAAAGTTAAAGTATAATGAATTGTCTTGTATGGTCACCATACAAAGACTCAAACAAGATGGATAAAGAGTATTGTCTTTGTTTCTGCTAGCAAATGCTACCTCATTAGATGAAGAAATATGGGCCTGATGTGTCTCATGTTTTGCTCAAGCTCTAAACCAAGCAAGAGCCCAGATTATGCAGATGAGGTGCTCTGTGCCTGGAGGAGATGCAAACCATGCTGTTCCTTAGGAGCATTTTGCTACACTCCTGTGTTTTAATATGTGGCTATATCACGATGTGGTTCAACCCTAAAATTTCCACCTGGATTATAGTCATATTGAAGATGGGCAGGCATGCAAACATCCTATCAGTGTGCACTCACCAGCACTTAACGATCAAGCCTGTTCACAACCTCTCGGACTGTAGCTATGAAGTTTTCGTTGTCTTGGGGATTAGCTAAAATTA